CTCGGTTCGAGCTTCTATACACATAATATTGACACACTCCCAATCGCAACTCGACCGAGTGCTGCAGTAGGAATCTCGATCTCGCGGGCGTTCGACAATGGTTCAGCCTCTGTGAACAGACATTCGACACTTGATCCCATCCATTCGCTTTTTACATGTACCGCAAAAAAGCGAAATTTTTTTTCTGTTCTTTTCCCTATGGAATTTCACACTCACTCTTCTACACTGAGTCCCGAGAACGTCATCGCCTGCGCAAAACGGTCCTGCTCACGTTTATAGTCGATATTTCGGCGCGCTGAGGCACTCGGGGCGGTGTAAGCGGCGAAATCGCTCATCGCTTTTCTATCAATAGTGATCGGCTGGTGACTTACTGAGGAAGAAAACAAGTATTGGTGAAAACGCTGCTGGTTGAATGACACCACCCCATCTGTTCGGATACAGAAATTAGCTCTGGAAGTCATTCCACGGTATCAGATAAGAGTAGAGGGATTTGATTGTGAAACAAAGTGCAAATAGGCAAGTGAGAGCGAAGAAAAGTTAAAGGGCTTGCCTACGAGAATTAATGCATAATTATGCAATTGGCCATTGCCCTTGTGCAAGTTGAAACTATGGAGGAGTCAGGAGCAAAAGAAGAAACTACGATGAGGTGACTAAACTAAAGGAGAAATTAGCAAGAGGCATCGTGCCCATTTCAAGGCAGAGAACTTTGAAAGGGCGGATGTAGTCTGGAGGAATAGGGCCATAGCACAGTTGTCCAGTGTTTCTCAGTCTCGACCTCGAGGTTAGCATTACAGCGAGCAACTGAACACTACTCACTATGCCTTCAAACAGTACTTCCGACGCTGTCGGTCCTCTTTGGGATGCGCGGCGTTTTCTGTTCTCGTACAGAACAACGCAACAGTGCTACAAATCCGACACAGCCTCTACAAAGACTAGTGTGATCTAGTCAATGAAGATTTCAGCGTGTTTAGCACGCAGTGTACGGACAAAATTTGATTGCCCGAGAGGTTTGGCCCCGGGAGCGACTTGTCGCTCCCCCGGTTAGGACAAAATTTCGCCTAAAAACGAAGTCGAAGGAACAATCAATAGAATAGCAAATAGTTTGGGCATTTCGGCTCCTGAGCAGTATGTATAGGACACTCCCTGTTGCTGGGAAAATTTTTTGCAAAATATGACCCTCCAACTTTCTACTCTAGCACGATGCTCCCCCTCATCCTTGGTACCTACCATCTTCCTGAGCACAGCTTACTTTTCCCAACTAGGAGAGGTCAAACACGACTTCTCCTCCAGCGACCAGCAACGACCCGCAATGGGGATTCCCAAGCGTACGACATGCCGGGCTTGTGATGCACTATCTGGAATCACCATGGATATCTTAACGCTCGGTCGACTTCAGTCACCAATCCTATCGCTGTTCAGGCAGGACACACTCTAATGGTGATAGAATAAACTTTTCAATGAACATGCACATCAATCGAACCAGTTTCCCATCAAAAACCATATTTCTATTAGGTTTCCAAACAATGATTCCCTACGCAATACGGGCAATTGGATTAAGCACTCAGGTTCCACAAGGTCACCCAATCTTTAATGTGTACTTCGCCATGTGACCATTCAGCAGACCATCCCAAGTCAGACGCACAAACAAATATCATTTGATTATCAATGCTACATTTAGACAGAAAAATGACACA